ACCGAACATGGTTCAGGTATCTTGCAAACATTCACCTACCTTTTTTTTCTTTCTCTCTTTTCCATATGTCCTAATCCTCTGAAGTTCTTTTACGAGTAATTGTTTACATTTTTTTTAAACAATATTTCAGGTAAATCGTTATATTTATTTATTTGCAGTTCAGAACATAAACAAAGAAATAATTATAATTATAATAGTTAGTACAAGTATTTGGGACCCCGAAAATTTGCCATCTAGCACATATTATTATTATCGTCATTATTTTACCACGTGATTAAAAAAGTTTTAAGTCCTTAACCCCCCCCCCCCCCCCCACCCCCCACACATACATACATCCCCCCTCCCACCCGACCCTAAACCGAAACAATGTGCCATTTAGAGCATCAACACAATTTTAGCCCTTAAGACCCCTAATCCCCCAAGAACTTTTGTAAAGCTATATGTTTTCTTTGTATCGGCATCCCTGAATTTGAAGCCAAAAGCAGGGTTTATTTATCAGTCTGTAGGGTTAGCTGCATACAATCTCCTAGACTACATTGCATGTGGCTATGGTGTTTTATTCCGGAAGACCGCTGTTCGTCCATCTTCTTGTGTGTTTTGTTTACTAGCAATCTCGAACTAGATCTAAAAATACTGGCTGAAAGACGATAGAAAGAGAAGGCGCTGAAGTCAAGCTGACAGCAACACTTAATACAACAAAAACTGTAACTAGAAAATTCAGTTGGGGGGGGGGGGGGAGAAGGAGGCTCATAACTATATCCTAACCTTTCCAACGAAGTCTTCAACAACGTAATAATAAATACACCACAAACTGTGACTAGAAAACTTAGAGTACATGACAACAGAGCTCACAAACAGCCAGTGCCAAACAAAGAGGGCTGATTTTACTGTATTTCAGAGACCTTTTTTTAAATTATTATTGTTGTCATTACCTTAATAATTAGGATTATTAAAGTTTGTGTAGTGACTATTCGTGTGACTGATGCAGTAGTTACATCTAGTCATCGTCATCATCATCAGTTTCCTAATCCGTTAAGAGGCCTGGGGAGGAACAGTTTGCGATCCTTTGCTTGATGGGATGCAATGGCTATTGTCATTCCGTGTCCATGTAGAAGCTAAGTAATGTCATCAGTCCATTTTCTCCTAGGGCGACCTCTTGATTTCGTTTCGGATCATTTTATACGTAGCGGCTGCTCTGGTAGCCGATAGTCTGTCTGATATCATTTCTAACTTTGTCTCGAATGGTTAAGTCGGCGACTTTTCTCAGGCATCTCATTGAACAGTGAGTAATTTTAGGTAGGTTAGCCTTTGATGATGTCCAAGTCTGGCACTGGTAGCACAGTATTGGTTTGAATATGCTGTTCTCAATCTTTTTATGTTTGGATGTCTTAATAACGGTGTCAGTTGGTGTATAAGTGCACTGGCTAATTGACATCTTGTTTCTATTTTCCGATCTATTCTCCCGTCCTCCGAGAATATACTTCCAAGATAATGAAACTTGTTAACGTTCTTCAGGCAAGTACCATTCAACTCTATATGTAGTAGACTTTGAATTCTACTGACCTGCATTACGTCAATTTTAAATGATTTATTTTAATGTTAAATCTTGTGCAAGTTGAACTTAGCCTGTTTAAATGGTCTTGCAGTCTACTCCCCTCATTGCAGATCAGGCACTGGTTATCTGCAAATAATGGCTAGTTTATTATGTGTGAATCTAAATCTTTCCCGGCAAGCAACATTACTCATTTCCTGGATTTTCTAGGTCGACTGCTTTAAAACTGGCTTCCTTTGAAGTTGTGTCAATGTATATAGCAAAAAAAAAAAAAAAAGAGAGGAGGAAGCACATATCACTGCCTCATCCCTGTATTGACTAAACATATCAGATATGCCTGCTTGTGTTCTCACTGCGCATTGGGAAGTCTAGTAGGTAGCCATGATGTTTTCTAGCAGTAGTTCTTGTATCCCATACTCCTCAAAAATCGCTCATACCATGTGTTAACACACCCATTTTTGTAAAAGCTTCATAATCCTGAATAAATTTATAACCTTGACAGAATACTATTAACAGGGAGCCGCCGTGGTGTAGCGGCTAGACACTCGCCTGCGGATCAGATTAGAACAGAGCCGGGTTTTTTCTTCAAAAAGACCTTGACTTCCAGGTTGACCAGCCTTAATTCGGTACCTTATGTAGTCATGGGAAGTACAGGCGACATGCGTCACTTAACTTTCTTGTAGCAATACAGGTGTGGATAGTAGATTTTTTAGTTGTGAATTTTTACTGAAACAGTAACTGAACAAATTGGAAAAAAAAAATAGTGGCAATGTGGATATTCAAAACAATAGGCCGTTTTTCATCACACACACACACACACGCACGCACGCATGCACGCACGCACGCACGCACGCACGCACACACACACACACACACACACACACTGTCTGAACATTGAGTTTCCATGGGTCACCAGCTCCGAGATCCTCTGCCATCTCTGTTTAGACTGAAATAGGTCATTATCCGAGTCGTGAGGCGTTGACGTGACAGAAGTCTTGCATTGGAGTCCTTAAAACAAGCACTAAGAATGCTGTTAGAGGTGGGTAAGGAGGGTGCCATTGAACACAACCCAGCTGGCAACTTTCCCTGAAGCAGTTATCGAAATTAATTCCCGGGCATGATTGTTTCATCAAATAATCATGCAATCACAGTTCAGCCGTCACAGCAAACTGCTCACCCTAAAGTTTTTTCTGTTGATGTGGCAACGAAGACAACACAAAATGTCTATAACAGTACCTTGTGGGAAAAAAAAAAACAATGACACAGACCGCATTTCGACAAAGCCAGTAGCGTACACCCGCATTATTGTTTCAGATAGCGAACAGCGCCCGCCTACGCTTATCGGCACGACACATGATAATGACAACGATTTCCGGTTGGGCTTTGCTATCAAGGGATCTGTAAATTCCCTCTTGTGGTAGATAGCAAACCATGACCGCCACCTACCCTCTTTGATATGGCACATGCAGACGATTTCCTGGTTTTCTGTTGTTCTTGAAAAGAGTCTGTATAATTTCCCCATCCCTTGTTGTGTAGCAATGAGATTTACATCATTAATTATCAAAGAAACCAAAATAATAGGTTTTTAATTGAGCTGTCTAAGAATTTTTTTTTTTAAAGAGTAAGTAAACAGAATCTCTGAGGTGTCACGAACATTGTGGTAACAGCAAATTGCACTTTTTGCCCGAGTGTGGTGTGGGGTGAGGGTTGGGATCGGAGGGGGGCAGAGGGGAGAATCTTATCGGTCGATAGGATCCCTAATCATGCATGAAGCCTAGGAGAAGTCCGTGCCACGCTTCGCAGAGGCAGTTGTGCCCAGGAAAGGTTAATGTATCAAACGTCATTGAAAGTACCGAACGATGGCCATTGTTCTCTGAATGTCCTGCTTTGAATGCCTGAGGCTTTTACCACTCTTCAAACGGTAGGCGGTTGGAATACGTGTCAGCTGTCATTATTAGACAGTAACACGACTGACGACGTCCATCCAGTCTTTGAGGTGCGTCAATGTTAAAACATGTGGGCGAAACTTTGATTCAGTTGAACATCAGAAATAGCACCAGGAATAACATAAAGTATAACATCAGAAATAGCATCAGTAAAAACATCAAAAATAATATCAGAAATAGCACCCCAAAAAAAGCATTAAAAAAAATCAGAAATAGCACAACGAATAACATAAAAAAATAACAGCAGAAATAGCACCGGAAATAACATCAAAAATAACATTACAGCTGTATCGTAATTAATATCATTCTTATAACTAACATCCTTCTTACAGATAACATCTTTCTCGCACCTAGTATCATTTTCACAACTAATATCTTTCTGACACCTAACTTCTTTCCCACACCAAAATCCTTACAAAAGCTAATTCAGTTCCTAAACCTGACTCTTCTCCGCACCAAAATCCTTACCATACCTAACCTGCTTTTGATACCTAACTTCTTTCTTTTTCATACTTACCATCTCTCTTACACCTGAGATTTTTTTCGCACAAAAAATCCTTCCCACACCTACCACTATTCCTGCACCTAACTTCTTATCAACATCTAACATCTTTCCCACACAAAACGTCTTTCCTACATTCATTTCACAGCTATCATCCTTCCCACATCTAGTTTTTAAAAAGAGTAGAAAATTATAGGGAAGAAAAAAAGTTTGTAAGAAACAACAAACAGTTTATGTTAGCTTTACAAAATCGATCACAATAAACGAACAAAGGACGTTGCGGTGATTAGCCTTCATCAGCACATAAAGAACAATATAGTACACATACACAAATATACTTTAACTATGAAATGACTACATCTATCATCATTCCTACACCTAACTTCCTCTCTATACCTAACATTCTGTTTTTACACCAAACATCTGTCCTACACCTAACTTCCTTCCAGCATCTAACTTTTATCCGGTAAAATACATCCTTCCCATACATATCTTCCTACACATAACACCCTCCCCATTCTAGCATCGTTCCCAAAATCAACATCCATCCTATATTTAGTATCCTTCCTATAGTTAACATCCTTTCGACGTCTAACAGCTGTAGAACACCAAATCTTTTTCCCCACACATAATCCTACAAATAACACCAGTACCGCAATATGCCCCTGACACCTGTAGCACACCAAATCTTTTTCCCCACACATAATCCTACAAATAACACCAGTACCGCAATATGCCCCTGACACCTGTAGCACACCAAATCTTTTTCCCCACACATAATCCTACAAATAACACCAGTACCGCAATATGCCCCTGACACCTGTAGGACACCAAATCTTTTTCCCCACACATAATACTACAAATAACACCAGTACCGCAATATGCCACTGACACCTGTAGCACACCAAATCTTTTTCCCCACACATAATCCTACAAATAACACCAGTACCGCAATATGCCACTGACACCTAAAACCTTCGCCTTGTTTGAGTGTACTCACCAGAATGCTCCTTAGACTTGCGTGATATTGTAGTGAAGATGAGCCCGTAGGCCGTGCCTATGACAGCTAATGGAAGAACAAATGCGAACAACAGCGACGCTATAGGGTACAGCTTCAGTTGCCAAGCACTTCTGTAGGGACCAAAGTCCACACACTGGTAAAACTCTTCTTTGAAGGGACCTCTTAACACGTTGAACAGTGTCAGCTGTAGAACAAAAGGTTATGGAAACTATTAAGTACAAAAGCTACAGTAAACAAAAAGTCCACTGTGTATGGAGTCACCTTTATTTTCGTTCCGAGATACACAGGCGTTGATGGAAATGAAAGAGCTCATAGGTTGGCTGGATCTGCCATCACTACCGAGGTCAGCCTAGGGATCATGTTGATATTAATAATGCCTTCTGAAGGATGGGAAGGGTGGAGGATTTGGGGGTTGGGAGAGGGGGGGGGGGGCAGTGAATCCACATCACTCGCCAGACTTGAGAGTTAAGATCTGCATAGCAAAAAACGAGACGCACAAGAGGCACATCAGAGGACTTGTTAATTAACGCAGAATACTATTAGCCACCAGACGCTGGGATTCATACTGAGGGGATGGGCTGAGCATCTATGGACATGTCCGGAGTGCAATGATGATAATTCAGACTAACTAACTAACTAACTAACTAACTAACTAACTAACTAACTAACTAACTAACTAACTAACTAACTTACTAACTAACTAACTAACTAACTAACTAACTAACTAACTAACTAACTAACTAAATAACTAACTCGACCAGAGCGAAAATATTGCAAACTATTTAAATTATGTTATCACATTCGACATCATCGAACACTGGGCATTTTCATGCCGGCGCAGTCCTCCGATGCAGCAGCCACTCCAAAGTAACTCTACTGACTGTTCTCACGAAAACTTGTTTACAATGTCTCCTGTCTTGACCTCGAAGATCGCATAAACGTGCTTTATCAAGCTTTACCACGGTCATCTAGTGATGTTAGCGTCAACGATATACCATTGCTCCCCAAACTAGTCCGTAGAGCGTTGAAGATGTCAGGTCTGTCCATGCTTCTTCTCGTTCGCGTGGGGCATTATCTTCCAGCTGGTGGGCTCTTTCTAACATCATGAAAGCTATTTAGTTCGAACATCAGAAGGAACAAACAAATTAGGGACACTCATTTAATGCAAACACTAGAACGAAAGGTAAGGTGCACTATCTAATACAAACATTAAAAGAACTCTATTTAACGTAAATACTAAAGAGAGAGAGAGAGAGAGAGAGAGAGAGAGAGAGAGAGAGAGAGAGAGAGAGAGAGAGAGAGAGAGAGAGAGAGAGAGAGAGAGAGAGAGAGAGAGAGAAAGAGAGAGGGGGGGGGGGTAAAAGAAAAACACAGCGAAACCTATTAATTTGAAACTAGAGGTAAAACATAGGGTTGGGGAAAAAAAAAGGGGGGGGGGGGGATTAATACACACACACAAAGTGAAGAATACTAGATGATAAAAATATTATAGCGACAAGTGACGAAAAATATTGAACACAAACACTTCAATTAAAAAATAATGAGAGCACCTATACAATTCTAAAGCTACAATAGAAGGTAACACTATCTTTCTCGACTTCTTTTTAGTGTTTACCGGCTCTATACCCAGGCGGAACGTTTTGGTTGTTTGTTTGTTTCTGGACTTCAGTCTTGTTCTAAAACATGCATTTTGGATGCACATTCGGATTACAGATCTGGCTAACGTGTATGCAGACTGTTGGTTCCTCGCCGCTTAGGTAGATGCGTTCCGACTTCGGAACAAAATCCCTAATTAGTAGCCTTCTACAATATGCTTATTAGAGGGGAAATAGATCTACTATTCCCCCCCCCCCACCCACGTATGGGACCCCAGAACCCACCGTTAATGTAATAAAATAACTATAACAAAAGTAATAAAAGTTATTTTATACAAGCACTAGCACATCATGTAAGAAAACTTGAATTCAGACACTATAATAAAAGGTAACGAAAACAACTAGGGACAAATAAAACAAGGGCAACTATTAAATACAAGTATTCAAACAAAATTCAAATTAATCATAATGCTGGAACAAATTTAACATTAAGTATTATTAGATGCAAAGCAGAGAACAAAAGGTAAAGAAAACTATTTAATACAAATACTAGAACAAATTCTGACGATATTATCCAATGCAAAGTTACTCGTGGTTGTGAATCCGTCACATGACGTTTCAGAACCACTCAAGTAGTTCTGGCTGCTTTTCTCGTTTCGCCAAGCGATCTGATGTTCAGTAATTTGTCATTTTTAAATACACTTTCAAAATCAGCTCGAAGTGGTCTATTCAATGAAAACGTTATAAAAGGACCCGGCCCGTCTATGTAAGACCAGACTGCCCTTTCAGTATCATCATGTGGCCTGAAAGCAAAATGTCGCCGATATTCATTTCTCTCCACAGATCGCCGTCATTGAGCTCTAGAACAAAACTACTGGCTCAGCTGCCTATGCTAGACTTGGAGGCTGGAGAATGGTAGAATCTCTAAGGATATATCTACAGTGAATTACAGATTAGTCGAAGGTATCGAGGTCGGTCACCACTACGGTTCAAAGATGTGTGCAATCGTCACATAAATGATACTTGTGTTAAGGCTGATTAGTGGGAACAGAATATCATGGACCGTGTAGCATGAAGGGTGACAATCTGGAAGGGAATAGAAATCAAACACACACACACAAACGATTACAGGCAGATCAAGAGCTAAGCATCTGAAAGAAGGACGCTAAAAACACGAGGTGCAACAATGAACCTGAAATAATATGCTTTAATTGTTGAAGACTTTTCTTAACTCGAGCGAGTCATGCTGGCCATCGCCAATAGACGCGATTATCATGCCGCATTATAGAATAACACAACAATATCGTCCGGAAAGACGAAAAGGTGTCAACAGTATTCAGACATGCAACTGTCTTATCTCATCCAAGATAATTTACACTGGTCTGCACCAGCCTCTTCTGCATCTGTTGTTTCTCATCATCACGCTGTTCTCTAATGCCCCTCTTCCTATCTGGTTGGTGTGGTAGGAGTTGTTAGCTACGCTATGCAACTAGTCTCAGTTGTCGTCAAGAAGTTGGAGCGTGCCTATCGTGGAAACATTGAATCTATGTGGAGGTACCTCGTCGTGGCGTCTTGAATGACTGAAACAGTCTGCAGATGGCGTCCTTTCATCACCCTCTTCAGTCGGGGGGACCGAACAAAAAATTGCATGGAGACAGGTCTGGACTTTAGTCAGGCTGTGGCAAGGTTGGAATTGTTTCTCGGCTAGAAACTCACTGGTCGCCAAGGCGGTTTGCCTCGACGCGTTGACATGGTGATGTATCCAGGTGTCGGCAATCTCAGGACGGACGCGATGGACTCGTCGACGAAGTTTTCGAGTACTTCAGTGTAAATATAGGCATTTATAGTTTGTCCAGGAGGAACAGACTCAGAATGGACGACTCCTTTCAAATTATGGAAGATAATAAGCATTGTTTTGATTTTTGATTTACTAATGCTGGCTTTCTTCAGACGGGGTGACCCTTTCCGGTGCCATTCGGAATTTTTCCTTTTGGTCTCTAGATCGCACTCAAACATCCAGGATTCGTCTCCTGTGATCACCTTCCGCGAAAAGTTTGGCTGTGTTGCCACACGCTCCAACAATTCTTGCGAAATTGTCACACCGTCTGCTTTCTTTTGGTCTGTCAGCACTTTTGGCACCAACTTTGCATACACCTTTCGCATGCCCAATTCCTGCGACAAAATTTCGTAAACTTCCGTTTTGGGCAAGTTTAGTTCCTCCGCGATTAATTGCACACTCTTGTGTCGATCACTGTTCAAACTGTTTATACACGTTCCACGTTTTCCTTTGGTTTGGTTGTGGAAGGTTGACTCCCTCATTTCTTGTCCCCAACATCTTCCTTCTCTCCCCTCCTTGAAGGCCTTGTGCCAGTTGAACACCATCAAACACATTGTCGTTTGCTGTCTTTAACATCACTCATTGTCGTATGCTATCTTTAACATCACTCCTTGTTGTATGCTGTCTTTAACATCACTCATTGTCGTATGCTATCTTTAACATCACTCATTGTTGTATTCTATCTTTAACATCACTCATTGTTGTATGCTATCTTTAACATCACTCATTGTCGTATGCTATCTTTAACATCACTCATTGTTGTATGCTGTCTTTAACATCACTCATTGTTGTATGCTGTCTTTAACATTTCCAACGTCTCTGTCCCGGATTTTCCGAGCTTAACGCAAAATTATATTGCGCAACTCTGTTCGATGGAACTTTTCATTTTAATTTACAAAACGTCACTCGTACATGGATAGATTCACTACTTCCACAGTCCGTACGCTCCAACTGTTTGTCGACAACTAGGACTGGTTGACGCATAGCTAACACCACCCGTCTACCGAGGACGTCATAGAAGGCACTAAATTCCGTATCTACTTCGACGACCAACGGGGATCTTTGAAACGCTTACATTACCAAAGGACGGAATCCGAAATGGAACACATCATAGTGCGTTAGGCAAAAGTCTCAACCACTTTAATTAATATACCCCGAGATTTAGATAGGGTGGTCTGTTGTGTGATGGAACCATCGAGAACGAATTCTATCTAGTTGAATTAGCAAAGCAATATAAAAACCAAAAAAAAAAAAAAAAAATAAAAACGTAGCAATCTACAATCAAATTTTAACTTAAAATACACAGCTAGGCTAAAAAAAAAAAAATGCTAAAAAGGAAAGCAATTTGTAGCGTACTTTTACTCTACAAATCAAAGAACAGACTTGGAAAATCCAGACGCTACGAGCTCGGTTAAACAGGAATAATGGATAAAGAACTTAGGTGAGACAATTAAGAAACAAAAATAGAAATTTAATGTCTTCAGAGCATATGGAAACATAAGAGGTTTCAATGCGCAAAAGGCCTAAATTAAAGGTCATAATATTTTTTTAAAGTTTTTAATTTGCGTGAACACATCAGAAATAGAACAGTCTTCTGTGCAAATATAGTGTTAAAAGTAATATTTCAAATCCACAACTGATATTATTAGATGAAGAAAGAGATGCATTATAATGGTGGGTTGTCTGGCGGAAAAACATTAATTAAATTTTGCATCTGTGTAATTCCT